TCTTTTTAATCTTTAAAAGGTAAAATGAATAAACATTAATATCAATTCACTTTATTTTCTAAAAATTATGAAAAAAAATATTTTAAAACTGTTATTTTAATAAACTTTCATTTACCATTTTTTAAAGTATGTACTAAAGTGTTTTTGGTTCTTTTTTGTAGTACTTTATTAAAATAACATAATTTTAGAATAATTTTCTTTTTAATCTTTAAAAGGTAAAACGAATAAACATTAATATCAAATTTTATATACTTAACAAACCCATTAAACTTATTAAATTAATCTAAAAATTAATACAAATTTACTTGTAAAGAAATTTTCAATATAAGAATTAATTTTTAAATATTAATTAGAGTATAAAATTTTTGAAGGCAAAACATTTACATTCCTCTTAAAAAATGGGAGGAAGGGAGTAAAAGAAAAGTTAGTGAAAATATAGGCTCCTAGCAAGATGTATTAATTCTTCACCCAAATATATTTTTTACCATATGAAGTAATTCCTAAGCCAAAGTCATCTCTTTCTATCAAAAGATGCTATTAAACAGCCTAAAATGTATAGGACTTTTGACCCGATTTGCGGGGTTCCCCCACCTCAAACCCATACCTAACTCAACAAACCCTCCCTCCCCTCCTTCTCTCTCACCCTTCTGCCATTCCTTCTGAATGCTTAATTCCTCATCATCCATTAATGGGAGATCAAAAGGCAAGAACCAGCACCGTCTCCCTAGATGAATCTACCTCCGCCATTTCCATACCTTCCACCCCTTCATCAACCCCAAGCCCTCCTCCTCCCCCACTCCGTCACCCCATCTCCCTCGTCCACCCCCCAACCCAGGAGAAAAAACACAAGACCAAAACCAAAGTCTTCCGTGTCTTCCGCTCCGTTTTCCGTTCTTTCCCCATCATCACCCCGACCGCATGCAAGATCCCGGCCCTCCCCGGAGGCCTCCCAGACGCCCACCGGGGGTCTTCCAGAACACGAGTCACGGGAACTTTATTTGGGTATCGCAAGGGTAGGGTAAGCCTCTCCATACAAGAGACTCCCCGGTGCTTCCCCACGTTGGTCATTGAGCTCGCCATGCAAACGAACATGTTACAGAAGGAATTGAGCTCCGGCATGCTGAGGATTGCGTTGGAATGCGAAAAGCCGGCCGACAAAGTAAAAACAAAGATATTCGAAGAGCCGCTGTGGACGATGCATTGCAATGGGAAGAAGACGGGTTATGGATTAAAGAGGGAGGCGAACGAGGAGGATTTATACGTACTGGAGGTGCTGAGAGTGGTATCCATGGGGGCGGGGGTGATGCCCCGGCATTCCATGGTGGAAGGCCCAGATGTTGAGTTGGCCTACTTAAGGGCCCATTTTGATCGGACCGTGGGCTCGAAGGACTCCGAGACATTGTACATGCTGAGCCCTGAAGGGAATAATGGACCTGAGCTTAGCATTTTCTTTGTGAGGATTTGATAAATGATGGGATTCATGGGTTTTGGGAGGATTTTTTTTTCGACGTTGGGCTTTGGGAGGGTAATAGAATAATTAGAAATCTCAATTTAATAAATTATAGTTTTTCAATAAATTTTTTCCTCTTTGAACTATTTTGTTTCGTTACTATATAAATGATTATTTTTAGAATTTAAAAAGGTTTTGGCCAGACAATAACTCCATCAAGAATAGATATTTTAACTCCAAAAGTTTTGGCTTAAAGTCATTATAATTATTATTTGTTCTTAGATAAATGGGGCACAGCGTATTGAACTATTTAAGGCCAATTTCCCCATTCAAATGGACAGCACTTTTTTTCTTAATTTTAAGAATTAAAAAGTTATGCCCCACATGCATTGATTATTAGATAGTAACTTCGCAGAATGATAGTATGCTTGTCAACAAGCAAAGCAATATGTTTCAAGGTACAAACTCCAGACAAGGGAAGTGATAAGGTTCGCCATAGAAACATGTAAACTTAAATCACGATGCATGATCTGCATTTACTTAATTATTGATGAAAAAAGCGAGCTCCCTTCATCAATGATTAAAAATAATGTAATATGTCCATAATGAATTGCATTATAATATTTTTTTATTTAAAGATTATGTAAAATACTTTATTTATTATTAATTAATTGTAAATTGTGTTTGAGGTGGACATCTCACAGTAAAAATTAAAAGAAGGAATATGTTATATTTTGCCAAATATCTAATTATACGGATCAATTGAGTACTTATCTACTCGCATTTGCAGCCACAGTTACGGTGGCAAAAACACCATTTATATTTTTGATTTGGTAGGGTTTAATATGCAAACATAACACTTGCTTTACAATGTAAAATTACTCCTATTTGAGACCATTTGCTTGCGGTGCAATAATAAAATACTATACAGTCTATACTCCTTGGCCCACTGCAAGGTTCAAACAGGTGGGCTTCTGCATGCTATTTTTTTCGTGCATGGAACTGATGCCAAAGCGCGTGTTTGACTGCTCGTTTTATTCCCATGGAATGGAATTGATCTTTCCGCGTCAACAGCTGGGCTTTGCTAGTATCCAAGAGTCAGAATGATATAAAATCCCTACTCAGCTGAGTCTGCTAAGCGCCATCCCCAGAAAAAAAAGAGAAGTTTTTTTTATTCAATGGAGAAGTTTGTTCAAGATCTGAAGAAGAGGTTTCTGAATCTGGTTGAAGCCATCACATCTCGCAAAATTGCCGACATGGGAAATGCAGGTGCAGGTGGGGAAGAATCCAAGTCTGAATCCATGGAGATTATTGATCAGGTATGTATTTTTCAAAGTTAATACCTTTTCATGGCATGGCAACAAGATGTTAGTAGATCTGAAGAATCTGATGTTCTGTTTACTAATTTTACAGAAGGAGAGTGTGGAAGTGCAAGAAAGAGTGATCCAAATCAGAGCAACTAAGGGTGCAACACGCCCTGGCGTGCCCAAAGGTCCTCCCGCTAAGACAGGTTGAAGATCATCTTCCCTGTAACGAATTAATGTTCCTTCCTCGCTGTTTATCTTACAATGGTCTTGTATATGTTTTTTGAAAAATGATCTTTTTGATCTGGACGGTGAAAAATATTAGTCTACCATAATCATCCCTTAAAACTTCAGTTTAAGAGTGACATTTTTTTCATCGGTACAACAGATTCAAAACAACATTTGTCATAGTTTTTATGGTAACTTTGGATTGCTTTTCTGAAATGCTTGATTCTATTGATCATGAATGAAATTTTTTTAAGATAATATAGTTCAATTATTGAAGTTGCCTATTAATATAAGATCTTCATGTAGTGGGTAGATAAACTGCTAAGGCCACAAAAGATATTAAATTTGATTCACCTATCCCATTCCCATAAAGTCTTGCATGTAGAAGTAAAAGATTTATATAAATTGACCCATGAATCATTTTATAAGAGTTGGATTTTGCAAGAGAAGATTGTAGGCCAGGGAAGAGGGTGGAGGAATTTAAAGTTTACTGAACAGCTACTCAAAAAGAAAAGAAAAGAAAAGAAACCAAAAGTTGAACTTCCCAAAAAATCAAACAAGGGGGAAAAAGAAAAACTTGTAATTTAAAGCGACAAGTCAACGAACACCGAAAACTGCACAATGTACCCCATTCTCAATCCCTCTGAAAACCGCGTTACCGAACAAAATGCCTGCCACGTAACCACCGGGCCCCACTAGACCCCCTTAGATACCCCTGACGTGGATATTCATAGGCCAACCACCAGCGTTCCACGGACACTCCAACGACGCCGAGATTCTGGGAAGAGGACTAAACCACGTTTCGCACCAAAACTCTCCCCCCCCCCCAATGGCCGCGGTGGCGGGTGCAATTCGCTGCGAGCTTCCGTCAGCTAAACCGGCCGTTTTGAGGAAGGAAACGGCTTCGGGACCGGCTCCGGTTCAGAGAGTCAAACTGGGTGAAGCAGAGAATGGGAAGATAGTGCTGCAGCCGAGGTTGTGTACGTTACGGTCTTATGGGTCTGATCGAGGTGGGGTGATGAGGACGAGGAGAGACGGCGGTGCGGATGAGGGCTCGCCGTTTTTTGAGACGCTTTCGGAGTATATTGAGAGCTCGAAGAAGAGTCATGACTTTGAGATCATCTCTGGCCGCCTTGCCATGGTAATTAAGTCCTTTTATAAATTTTTTTTCCTTAAATCTATTTGTGGGTTTGTCTTTGTGACGCTTATTCTTCTCGTTTTAGCTTTGAATAGCTTATTTGTAAGAGTTTGGTAATTTGGTGTTCAACTGTTTCGGCAATGTGAAAACATGTGCACTAAACTTATACTACCTGCTTCCTAATTAGCTGTGGAATACCATTTTTCAGGTAACTTTAGGTAATATATTTGTATACATAAATAAAAATGATAATTGAAATTTTTTGGAATCAATATATGGTTCTTGTTTAGTAATTTCATTTGATCAACAAAAGTTTCAATTATATAAAAGTACTACTTAAAGTTTCATGAGAATTAATTATATGAGCAGATAATTAGGAACAGAGGGAGTAAATAAGTAATTGATTGCTCTGTTAAAATAATATGAGCACGTAATTTTAAACCAATTACCAATGGGCAATAGATGGACTAACTCGACACTCGTCCTATATTTAAGCCATATATTTCTTGAGATTTTCTCATTTAACAGGCAATTTGTCACACAGGTTGTGTTTGCAGCAACTGTGACAACAGAGATTGTGACTGGAGACTCAGTATTTAGGAAGATGGATGTACAAGGGATTGAAGAAACAATTGGCGTGTATGTGGGAGCTATGATTTCTGCTGCAATCTTTGCTTGGCTATCCAGCGCTCGGGACAGAGTCGGCAAAATCTTCACTGTGAGTTGTAACGCAGTTATTGATTCACTGATTGACCAGATTGTTGATGGACTGTTTTATGAAAGCGAGCTCAGCGACTGGTCTGATGATATCTGAAATACCATCTTTCTGAAAAGATGGAAAAACAACATACTCTTATAGGCAAAACTGCCTCTTTTTGAGATTGTACATGATAGAGCTTGAAAAATCACATCAGAAACTAGAAATGCAATTAGCTGAATTTACTTAGTGCTGAATACTGTCATTAGGCTGTGTGGGGGTGTGCAAAAGCATGGAGATAGAGTTTTACTTAAGGTCTGTTGTTTTTGTATAAAAAACTTGTCATCCACTTGTAAAATATTACTAACGCAATCAAATGCACAGGTGGCTGGGTTTATACTTATAAACTTGTAGTGCCTGCATTTTCTTGTATTATTATTTGTTGTTGATTCTATTGACCTTTGTGAGAAGCAGAAAAACAGAGAAAACTTATGATTATGATATGTGACAATGTAGCTTAATTAGCATGGGATCCTTTTGAGGGACAACTTCTGTTCCTTCTCTTCATCCATGCTAGGCATTATGGAATTTGCCAAGAATTATCTCTTCGTGGAGGAATTTACAACAAATTATCAACTTGTCATGTCTTTATATGATCAAATTATAGCAGAAATGCATGGAGGAAGGGAACTTCCCAGCTAAATGTCATTTGCTAATATAATATATGATCGCTCAGGTACTGAAATATCTTCCTTTTATGAAGAAGATGAGATCTCATGGACATTTGTCCAAGCGGCACTCTCTTCAGTGGCTCAAATCACAATCATAACTATGCATTGTATATATACTTGGGCTGGGGAGTTCTGCCAGGATGAATATATTACTGCAATAGAGGTAAAATGTACGCCTAAATGAACAAGTATACATGCCTTTTATGTGCATTTCACTTACCATCTAAAATCTGCAACTAAGTAACTCCCCTGTTGCTGATCAAAAAAAGTAACTCCCCTGTTTTGTACCTCTTTGTCAATTACTGTATGCAGACTGGAAATCGGAGCTGGAGGATACCTAGCTCCCAGAGGTTTGATTACCTGGGAAGATCTTGTTATCATTTGAATTAGAAATTTGAGATTTTGAAGTTCCATTGGAAGGAATAGAACTTCCTCATCATTAGGTTCAGTCTGATTGGAAAATGTGGAATTAATTATTCACTCGTGCAAAAAAGCTTCAATTGTTGAGAGTGGGATTTGAACCCACGCCCTTTCGGACCAGAACCTTAATCTGGCGCCTTAGACCAACTCGGCCATCTCAACCTGTTGAGTGATAATTCCAAATCTAATTATTAGTTTGTGGAGGAAACCAAAAGTGGAATAAGTAAATTGCCACCTAGCCCTTGTACTGGAAAAAGGTCGTAATGCAGCCTTTAATTTTGTTTTTTCTAGCAATCAAGTGTCCTTCATTTCTTAAAATAAAAATGAAATTAAATATTTTATAATAAAATTGCACTTAGGAGATAATTGATACATATGGTGCTGATTTACACTCTAATTAAACCTCAAATAAGAGTAAAAAAGGTGTAGAAATGAGAGTTCTTTTGGTTTGGGTGATCTTACGTGCTCTTATGCTGTTAAAGTCTTGTACTGTTTTGGTATCTGAAAATCTTGAGAAAGTATTTTTAAGAAAACACTCCAATACTTAAGTTAGCAATAATCACTTATCCCAAAGAATGAGGCTCTCAAAAAATGAATATTGTCTAGGGAAGTGGTAAAAGAGTTATTACATTTAAGGGAGGTAGGAAAGAAATACTTATATTCTCATTTATGACAGCACTACCACATGTTGTTTGATTGGCCAACATGCTATGGTCATGTGAGTGAGTTTTCATTGCTCCTTTTTGTTTTTAAGCTCTTATTGAGCATTTAATCAATGTTGGGCCAACTGCCCCCAACACTTTCTTTACGTCCAGTTAATACAAATCAAGGGCCTATAATTAACATTAATACTTGCCACCACATATATTCTCATTCAAATAATTAATTTCCAAAATTTCAATATATAGCTGATTGTGTGACAAAAAAAGGGGGGGGGGTGTTGAACTTTTCTGATTAATAAGATATAGGTTAAATGCTAAATTTGCCCCCTCAACTTTAGTGAGTTGCACATTTTTGATCCCTCAACAATTTTTTGCACTTTTTTGATCCCTCAACTCTAAGAAATGCACTCCGTTAGTCCTT